TACATGCAAATTACACAATTTCCACCCCAACACTGGTGTAGTTACAAAGGAGCCATACTGAATCGTGATATCAATTTATTGTTATATGAAATATTATTAAAAATAAATTAATCCTACCACAAGTATTGAGATTCAAACTGAATTAATCTGTCATTCAACTTATGTCTGATACAACGTGTAGGCTACGTCCAACCTTTTCTGGCAGCCTTCGAACAAATTGTTTGGCAAATTTCTAAAATTTTATCATATGATTAAGACTTAAAATACGTGTAAGACACTCCTACACTAAGATAGAACCTTGGAAAGTTAATTCGTCCGTATTTTGCAATAATGAAATTAGGAGCTTAGGATTTTTCATAATTATCATCAGGCTTACGGAAATTCACACCCTATATGAACTACTACGTGCGAAAGGCTGTCCATATGAATATAATTAATTAATTGCATAGGCCTAATTAACATAATAATAAAAATTTTATATTTTTATTTTCGCGAAACCCCTTTATCCCCTCTAGAGAGTTTAATGTGTGTCAGTCTTTATCTTTTATGCAATAATCTTTTATTGATCTTTATTTAAGCGATCCTTAATAATTAAAGATAAATGTTAGTTGCAATCTTAAAATATAAACCTATTGTACGTCATATGTCTATCTCTTACCTATCTTAAGAAGCAAATCTTTAAAAATTATGCCAGCTTCTTTAAAAATTTCACTTGTGTTTGAGACGACAAGTAACTTAGAAAACGAGTTAAAATATTTTTGTAGACGTTTTACACTCTCGATACTTCTTAAACTCATTAGTTTTGAGTTAAATAAGATAATAAATCAAGAGCCAGATTACTCATTGCTGTATGAGTATACTTTAAGAAATGCCAAAATATTTTATATACGTAGGATGTATGTGGGTGTCCATGAACACTATAACCCGAGCAATTTTGGTCCAATTTTGATTACATTTTGGTATAGTATAAATGTGGATAAAGTTAGAAAAATTGTACTTATTTTGTACAGAATTATTTACATTAATAAATAAATCAGACATGTTTAAGGAACTATCTGAGAAAAAATCCAAACTGAGAAAAATAATTTATTTACCTTGCAGGTTTGCTGCAACCAGGGTGTTTTTCTTGCAGACAAAATCCCTTGATTTCGGAGGTCAAGTTTTATCGACAACGCGTTCGTGTGACAGTAAGCTTCCTACGGCACTGTGGCCATTTGCAGCCCAATATATCATTGTTTGTCCCATTGTTCTGACTCATCGCAAATTCACTCTTTTCAACAATAGCCTTTTGTTTGTGGCGCTCATGTATTTACCAGTTTATTCAAATGTCATTGTAAATATTCTAAACAATTAATTTTATGTTTAAGACCGACATGTGTTTTGATTAGAGATGGTTATATAATTTTTTAAATTATAAATTAGTAAGGAATTCAACAGGTTTTAATTGTTCTATAGGTAGAAATAAGAATATAGGTAAAAGCAACGAAATGTTTTAATAGTTACAAAATATTCGACAACAACATCAGGTGAAAGAAAGTAATTATAAAATTGGATGTTAAATTAAATAACCGTAGAGGTTGAAGTAGCAAGCCGCGAAATGATTTATTACGATTTTATAATATTTCATAAGCTACTTAATGCATTATTAACGGCTAAAACAGCAATTTAACTAACAAAGAAACAAAGAAATAGTTTAGAAAGAAATTGTTTAAAAACAAAGAATAGTAAATAAATGGGTCTCTAACTAAACTGAACACAACACTTTACGTTATAATGAAATCAAGTGGAAACTTTAATGAGAAAACCAACGGAACACAATACAATGAGTTTCGTAGATTAACAATGGAAATTACTTACCTTAACTGTTCTGCATGTATTTTCTGTAGATTTTGGATGGTCCATGACTTAACTTAGAATCTCCTCAACAAACACTTTCCCAAACATTTAATCACTGTAAGTTTATCAGAAGATATCAATCAAGTGTTGCTCCAAGTTTGACCGCCAGCTCGAGGCTACCAGTTCAATTAATCTTTGGGCTAGTTGTTCCTAACTTGAGTGTCAAATAGAGGAATATCGTAGTAAACAGATTATAACGGTTAGTTAAGTGTCAATTCTTAAGTGCTATCATACTCGGAGTCTTAACCTTCGTACCATCTGGTTAAATGTTAACTGGGTCAGGTTAGGTTAGATTGGAGGGTAATTCATGTAATTTGAATAGAAAAAGCAATATATTTTTCGCCATCTCACCACATCTTATGCGTCACCATTTACTAAAAACACCATGCGACCACAGTTGGTATTATTTTATGGCAAAATGTTTGCTAAACAATTTCGAGTTAGTTTCTTCACGTATGTGTTTGTGAATGTGTGTATGACAACTTTTTGCAAAGTCGGCGATGAAGACAATTTACAATAATTTCTAGATTCAAAATAAACTTAAATGCTTTGAAAATTAAATTTAACGAGGCATTTAGCTTTAAAATTAATCTAGGCTCAAAACTAATGATAACAGCCACTAAACAAAATCACATAGTAGTAAACCTTTTATTTGATAAACGTAATCCGGACGATAAAATCGTTACATTTGTTTATGCTTATCGTGATAATATAGAAGGAAGCATAGTGTGTTTTGCTCTATGAATATCTCAGTAGGCTTTGGTGTCAAATAATAGTCCAGTGATCTAGTGAATACATTTTATTTCACAAATTTGACCAATGTGTTATATAAATAATGGAAAAATCTACGTGTTGTCACCTACTGGCATATAAGAGAGTTAAGGTAGGGTATTTAGGCGAACAGTGCTTTGGCTTCTGGAGGTCCCAAAATATAAAAAAAAATCACACAGTGGTTCCGCACCTCATTTAAACTATGCTAAGATTTTGTTTTGCTTTTGCATACGTCGCGGGACGAACATACCCAATCGAACAGAATATTGTAACCCGTATTAATTTGTAAAATCAAGCGCTGAAAAGCTAACTATTGCAAAACGAAAACAGGCACTAGCTTAAGATGACAACAGCTTTTGACACACAACAGAACACCATCTATAAGAAGAGTATTAATAAAGACCAATGATTAACAATTTATCATCACACAGCTCGAAGCGACGTCCACCGCCACAGTAACTGAGCACATTGTGGCGCTGCTTTGATTTATCCCACGGTTTATCCCATCATGGACACGAACAAAGAGCTAAATCTTTCATAACGTTCCGTTATTTTTCATAAGCCCTATTACTTCCTTCATAAAACATGCAATATGAGACGAGTTTATTACCATGCTGGTCGTAGCACTAGAACGTAGCCTATCATAAAATGGATAAAGGAAAGAGCAGTGGTATACAAATAGGAGATCCTTGTATTTAAGTATTGGTTGTACACCTAGTACGACCCTACCACGAAAAATATTTCAACAAAACTACACTGACCAATTTTTAACGTACATACTTAATGTGGGAGGTGGTAATTCCTCAAATATTACACCGACTCAGGAAGGTTTGCCTAAGTTTTGTTGTCGGTGGATATCAAACTTTTTGTCAAACCGATCCAAACAACAACTATAAAAATTTACGATTGTATTAAAAACAAAATGTCAATACGAGACAAGTTTGACGACGCTTTTGACTGCTCTATGGAGAATTTAGTTTCCGTTGGTAACATTTCGTACCTTTTAACACGTTACGTTTAACGTACCTGTAACAATTTAATGCGCTCGTTTTGATCTTTGTAGTAAAATGATGTAGGCCTACAGAGTTTTTTTTTAAATTTTTGTACTGAACCGAGTTATGCGTACCATCAACGCATGATGGCGGACCACGGTCTCTCACTCACTTTGAGCAAAACCGAGATTGTGATATTGACAAAAAAATGATTGACACCATTGTGCCGTTGAGGGTGGAGGCCATCGATGTCCAACCCGTTCGTACTGCCAAGTACCTTGGGGCCAGACAGTAATCTCAGCTGGCTTGATCAGATCTTCCGTACGGCGGATAAGGCCGCTAGGGTGGTTTCCTTTTTTAGCCAATGTCGGAGGGCCTCGGTCCAGTAGTAGGAGGCTGTCATTGTCTTCAATCCACACCGTACTCTTGTACGGTGCGGGGGTGTGGGTAGATGTTCTCAATGAGGAGGTATATAGGATGTGGCTATCCCGAGTGCTTGGTGGCCGAGGGGAAGACCAGTGCCGTGGGGAGGACAAGGCACGAACAGTGGGCCCCACCTGTACCTACCATCTTCGGCAGGAGACACGGGGACGCTGGACAAGGCGACTGATACAGCAAGTCCGACTTTGGGTTAACCCTCGGTACGGAGAGGTGAACTTCTACCTCACCCAATTTTTGACGGGTCACGGCCTTTTCCGGTCGTGCCTGTTCAGGATGGACAAGGCCGTGTCACCCGATTGCATATACTGACCATCGATGTAGTATACATCGATGATACTGACCAGGCATTCCCAATGACGCGGAACATGATTTTTTCGCCGCCACCGTTGGAAAAACCCCATCTAGAGGCTCAACAGTTCGCAGGTTAAATATTGTTTTCGGTGGACATGGTCATACCGATGTTGAGGGAAGGTGAGGACAGTTGGACCTGTGTTTACGTCCATTACGTCCAGCGTATTCTCCGCGCCAAGAAACTCTACCTTGACCGGGATGTGGTTTAGGTTATAAAGAATGCCAGAAACTCTGCGAGCCGTGAGGGCTTAATCACATGTGGGCCTGACTTGAAGTAATATGACAAAAAATTCCAGGTCTGCGTCCAACAGAGTAGAGGGGGTTTTTAGTGAGTAGCCTGATGAATGCAGGAGTCTCTCACTACAGGCTGGCTACCTGTGTACGTAAAAACAGTTTTCCTCCTCTCCCTAAATTCTTTTTTATTTAAAATAATGTATACAGTAGTTTATTGTCATGGAAGCTACTATTCACTTCAAACTACATTGTCGATCTTAATCTTATTTATATTTTTATAATCACAAAACCTTAAATTCAAATCTTTTGTTGCAGACTGAACTTCAAGGATTATTAAAGACTGATTAGGTAAGTCGAGTTATGGCATACCCCTAGTAACTAAGTTATAGTACGAGTTATATACGGTTATAGTAACTAAGTATTCGTAGTTATTTGAGGTTTGATAATAAGTTTTATTTAACGGGTATTCATTTTGTCGCAGGTTTTAACGTGTTACTGATCAAATACATTGTACTGAAATAGACTATAAATTACTAATTAAGAAAACATATCAATTTTTCATCCTATGTACCTACTATTTGAATAGGATATATTAAATTAGTTTTGATTATTTTAACTATACAAAACGAATATTCTGGGATTCTGTCAACTTTGAATTGCCAAGCAAATGAAAGTCAATTCCTCTCAATATGTTTACTTCATAAATTACTTTAAAGCTTACGATCAATAATAATTAATCTTCGGAAGCCTACTCACTTCCGATCAATCTAAACTTGTCTATAACTTTGACTGTCTGCTGGAACATAACTTGGGCTGCACTTGGACTGTTTTAATGAAACTCCTAGTTGAATATTAGTAACTTTAAAGTTTACGAGCCCAATTAAATAGGAATAACAATATATGTTTTACATAATATAAATTATATTATGTAAATTAGTGCTACAATTTAGGTCATTTTTAAGTTAGCAATGCAAAAAAAATCTCAATTGGATTTCGTCTAATTACCTATTAAGAAAACTGACTTACAAACTTTCAAGCTAAGACTGAAACTTTTTGTACGTATTTTAAACTAATTTTGAATGCAAAATGAGTGTAGAATGCCGTGGAAGATATTTGCTGCTTGTTACAGACTAATACCAGTGGTCTTTTGGCCAGAAACATTAAAGAAATCTAATGATCAAATATGGTGGGTCCAGTTTTGAAACATCAAAAAGCCACTGACTTTTTTCAGGGTTGATTAGGCAATCCTGTGATAACTAAACACTATGAACACTTAGCTGCCCATCTCTTGTTTTAAGTGTGGAGACTGTTTTGCCACTTTCAGGCAGTTATGTATGTTATAAATGTCAATATTAGTTATACCTGAAACCCCTAATATTGTTTAATACGACCCATCAATTGTGTGATATCATATGATACAATTAATATGTTATTACACACATATTCCAAAATCAAATTATTAACTTGGCCGATAAACCTGACCCAAATACTGCTTAGTTCATGCCACATTAGGTGTTGACAAAGTTGAGGTCGAACAATGCATTATCACCAGAACCACTGAATGCAACAAGTTGTGTGTTGGAAAATGAATCGTTAAATAGTTCTGATTGACTTGAATGCCTTAATGCTATTCAGATTTGGACTGTCGTAAAGATAAAAATATTTTTTAATTCACTACCGGTACATAACTTGATAATTATTTTAAATTGCCAAAGTGAGAATCAATAATATCTTTATGTAAAACCACTCCTTTTATCTATGGTAAAATGTGGTAGAGGGGTTTCAATTTATCTCACACGTTTGCGTCATTTTCGTTGTTGTTCGTGTCTCCACAACTGGCATTCTTAATGAAGGCACAGTAAACTATTTTACGGAAAAGCAGTCGAAACAATAACTTTTGGATATGCCGGAGATCGATCCCGTCCTTCTTGCAACGGGGGACTCTTGGCTAGCAACAAACTAGACTAGCAACACACTAGGCTTACACGCTAGGCTAGCAACACACCATTCTAGCAACACACTTGGCTAGCAACACACCATAAAGCAACACACTAGGCTTACACACTAGGCTAGCAATACACTAGGCTAGCAACACACCATAAAGCAACACACTAGGCTTACACGCTAGGCTAGCAACACACCATTCTAGCAACACACTTGGCTAGCAACACACCATAAAGCAACACACTAGGCTTACACGCTAGGCTAGCAACGTCTCTGTATCCTACTTTTTAGTATATTGTGTGTAATAATTGTAATAATAATAATTATATACATGTAGAAGTCGTATGTATGTATTATTGTGTATAATTCTATTGACACTTAACCTTGGCCTTAGAGTTCTGAAGCTTTGTACCACACACGAGACAGGATAAGGAGGTTGCAATATAGTTCAGTCAATTGCTGGGTCTAATGATACCTTTGAGGTTGCAGCATTACAAGAGGATTAATAATGGCTGTTTTCATTTAATTATTTTCCACTGTCAGAACTATTATTTTATAGGTATTTTGTGTAATAAATCATGTATTATCAAAGTTTTTGGAATAAATTTTAAAATGGAAATGTGTTTTCAAGAGTATTTATAACAAATTCCTTTAATTACTAAGAATATTACAACTGAACGAACACGCAGTCACACTTTGACCATATTTCCAAAAAAGGATTTTGTCGTTTTTTCCTATATTAATTAGATCACACTACAACAAAGTTTTCAATCAAGTATAAAGTAAAGTGTGTATGTATGTAAGGGATAAACGTTAATTACTCTAATTTGTTCTTTCCTTCATTCATTCATTTATTTCACATTTTCACCACGAATTCTAAAAGTGTAACGTTTGTCTCTAATAGTAACTAGTCTTACAACCGTCTGGAAAACGACTTTAAAATTTCCCTGTTTTAACTTAGTTTATAATACAGTTTGTCAAAAGTAAAGATTTCAATATTCAAGTAGATACCAAAACCAGTGTAGGTGTAAATAATAAGTAAATATATGGTATCATACCTCGACGAGAGGTGTTGATATTTGACAACAGAAGCTAAATTAAACATTAAACTCCGTAGATTGTGGGGGGATCAAGCCAGAGCTGATAAATGCTCATTGCCCTTGGAAGTTATGTTTACGGCTAAATTAGTTTATTTGCTTTTTCTTCATCTTCCTGAGAAAATAATACGGTATAACCTCAATGGAAAGTCCCTCATTGAAATAATCAAATTAGGTTTTATATCAAGGTAGACTCCATATTATGGTTTTACAATCATATGTGATTAAGGGTTATACAAATCAAAGAATTACACACTCATTATCAAGAATTAATTACCATTTAAGGCTTTGTTATTGAGGTTCTAATGTAATTTGGGATTTTTTAAATAAGGTATTACGAATAATAACGTACGGAGATTACTTAATATAAAATAATCTCATTTACTTATATGCAATCATTTGTGTGATACCATCACATTACCATATTTGAACGATGACATAATATGGCTACAAATATCCTAATACAGTATGCATTAGACAAGTTTTAATTATATTTTACGATACGGAAATTTGTTATTCGCCCTGCAGACATTTCAGGTTTTTACGCCACTCTGAATTTACGCAAAAATGTAAACAGAAGTTTTATGTAAAAGTAGATAAAAATCTTAAAAGCACATGAGAATTTGTTTATGATGTGTTCGTACAAATAATGTTTGTAGTAACTTAGTGACATAAAAAAGTGTATATCAAATTTAAAGATAACATTCATTCCTTTTTAATTCTATGGCTTGGTTCACCTCAATCCAAAGTTCTGCTGACAGTTTGGGTTTAAACTTGAAGGAGATTCCTATCTCCTAGTCAGTTGTAACCACGCTGAATGGGAAGGTTTACCAAAGGAGTTGGGAGGACATGTTGGAGAAAGTTGTTTTGTGGGTTCAGATTAGCTGATATCCCAGCTCTTTTGTTGTAATGTGTTAGTAGTATGTTTAAATCATTTTTATTTACCGCAGCAATTTTCTTAGTCAATAATAGTATTATTCCCGTGTAATTTAAACTAGTATACATTTGCACTCCACCTTACAAAATATAAATTGTCTATCTGCAAAAGAATAAGTTTCTCTGATAAAACAATGAAACAAACTCGTATAAAACTGGTTTAAGCCTACACGCCAATGCACAATCGTATAAACTCGTAAGAAACAAGTATGAAACTTGTGTTAAACTCTTTCGATACTGTACGAAACTCGTATAAGATCTTCATAGACCCTATACAAAACCAATACATCCCGCAAAAAAACTGAATATACTTGTACATATTGTATTGTAAATCTTGATCAAAGCTTAAAGATAACCTTTTGAGATTATTTATAACAATAGCATGTAATAGTTTTACCTCGTATTTTTAAACTAACAAAATAGCTATTTTGATACAAATTCACTTTCGTAATTTTACTTTGATTGGCTAAGCATTGGATTAAAAAGAGTGTATACCTACTTACAATACAATACCTACTTAAGATTCAATCACAATACAAATATATTTGTTTATAAGTGGAAATAAATCTATAAATATATTTTACTAACAGATAAATGGAATTGACCTACACTGAAGACGTAATGTTTTTAGGTAAATGTATTCTTACAAAGCTTTGTCCTGAAGAGGAAAACCAAGAGCTTGTCTCTATAATTATTTAATTCAATTACAACGGGAATCTTTTGATTTTAGTTTCTAAACTAAAGGCATTTGCATTTATTAACTACTAGAGAATAAGGGTTAATTACTGTACATTACTGAAATGATATTAAAACTTTGTAAAAAAATATTGTATTTTGATGAGTGGAAAATGCATAATTAATTCAAACTAAGAATATATACAGTAAAATGTTTTAAAACCCATCAGTCACTGATCATTTTGGAAATTTGATGATAATTTTAACGTGAATCAAGCTTTAGACGAATAATGCTTTTTTAAGTGGATTTGATCGATATTATTTGTGAATATTAAGGAAAACACTTTGATAGTAGATATATCTTCTATCCTAGACGTCCCAAGACGAATCTTTGGCGGGATAGAATTCTTTGCATGGACTTACCCCTGGGAAGTAACCCGGTAGATCGGAACCCATCTTAAAATTAAGTCCTCCGATGAAGTCAGATAAATAGGTCTCTCAACCGAGAAATAACTCTGTATTTGAGTTCTCCTTCGACGATAAGCCATGCGATAACAATAAAGTATTGCAATCCCTTGGTTGAACGTTGTATTATAGGCCTCACCAGGGGTTGAGTGGCTTTAAATGTTCTTGATCTTTACAGACTTGCTTGCGTTACACACTATAGCTGTGTATTTTATTTCAAGGAGATAATAT